ATTTTAAAAGGATTTGATGGACAGTTTTCGATGGATGATGGATGCTTTCTCTGGCAAAATAAATTATGAAGATCGACAAAGGGTTATCTATACTATGGTAAAATGCCATTTTATTACAATGCTCTGCATTGTTCCTTATTAAAAGTACCTTTTACAATTCATAATTTTATCAGATAGAAGCGCAGTATGGGTATAGAAAAATTGTTTCAGCGTTACTATATGGAATTCTGACCGAAGATGAATATACAAGGGTAAATTATTAATGTATCCTTATAGCATATTCGTGTACAACTATTTACCTTGACTCTTTCTTTAGTATTATGATCACATTTGTGATCATGACAGGGACAATTACGGTTATCTTATATCTGTGATGAACCAGATAGTTAAATACAGAGGCTTTGCGTTATATTCAAGAGAAACAACTGATCGGGCATGTTGAAAAATCTTTCATTATGTAAATACAATTACAAATCAGTATATTTATCTATGAATCTTTTTTTTTTTTTAATAGATTTTGTGGCTTATTACCATCATAATAGATGATAATAGAGAAAGTACAGCGAATGCTCAGCCTGGATTGTATGAAGTTTGTGAAAATCTCCTTCGTCAGATCCGCGGTAAAAATCAATTCAGCTATATATTCTCATGAATCATTATATGCACATATTAAATTGTTTTTACTTATTTTGTAATAATTAGGAGGTGACAATTCTGAGCCAAACATTCGGCTATGCGAGAAGATGCTTGAATTGCTAAAAAGAGAATCGTATATATATATTTTTTCTATCTTGATTATTGCAATTATATGGTCGCATGACATTCATTTATTTATAAATAATGACAAAAGATCATTTTTGTTACTATAGAGTGTGGCTTTTTCAAAATGAACGATTGATAAATGTGACCTTCTATACATTCGCAAGTTTGGCAAGAGAACACGACAGATTTGATCAGCTACGAACTCGGGAAGCACAATTTTGCAAAATGATTTTTGATAACCACGTATGTAAAGAAATTGTCACGTTCAATTGACGTTGTTAGTTTATTAACTCAGTGGTTTTAATCAGTATAACGTATGTTTTAAAATCGGCCGTGATCTGTATCGATTGTTATTAGAAGTTTCAAATATACCCGACTTTGCGGCCATTTATAATAATTTAGATCCTAATGGTATGATTTCATTTTTTATATTATGCTGAAATAAATACACGAACCTTAATTTCTGGTTATATTATTAATAGCAAAATTACTTATGATACGAAAGCCGACGGTGGACTATTGTTTGAGTAGTCGCCTTACAAGCGATGAGAAAGCGAGAATAATCGCATACTTGGAAAATGTATGAATCAATCCGTATTATTTAACATTGCATCTCTTATGGCTTAAATAGATATTTCACTTATTTGCGAACCTTTCAACATAGCATACACCAAATGCTTTTCAACGAAAATTTGAACCATTTTTTAGAGATTTTTCAGTTTCTGGATATACGCTTTCAGACATAATAAGATGGATATGTGGTGCATTTCGCCCAACAAAACCAAATTCGGAATCCCAAAGACATCAATTGATCCACGCAATGATTAACTATGCAGTACGTAAATCATTTTGTATTTCAATTCGTTCAAAAGATTGATGATTAATTAAGATTGATGATTAATTATTTCTATGTGCAGTGTGAAAAAGAACCTTCAAGCGAAATGAAACAGACGATTGTAGGATTGTCAAAAATGGCTCTTATATTGGATTGGTTGTCTTTTGACAGAAACAATATAAATCAAAGTATAAACGATAATATAAATAATATCGGTAAATGCTATGTGTATTTGTTAAATCTAATTGCTTGTAATGTTATTTTATTAATTTGTTTCTACATTTTATTTAATTTGATTTTTAGAGCCAACAATCCGCTTGATATTAGAATCGTATCGTTCTGACTATCAACTTGGACCAGAATTAGTTGAATGTTTAGGATCTTCAATTAACAATTTTCTTCCGGGTTTTGATCATGAAATTCGTGAAAACGTTAGAGTTGCTGCTCAAACCGTTTTACGAAGGAATATAATGACGTAAGAAAACTTAGTTAATTAATTAATAACTTTTTAAAAGCTTACATATGATCTAATTTACAGGATAGATGACCTTAACATGATTCGGAGTAAAGCCAATGATGGTCGTGTTGCTAATAGGATAATATTAGAAATATGGTGCAACAATAAGCAGACTGATCTTGAACCAATGAACATTCAACCAACGATTACGCGTCCGAATACTCTAAATAATCCACAATTCGGAATACATCAATTACACAATCAAGCAAGTTCTTCACCTTCAACTTCTTATTCTTCGAAACTTCAAACTGATTCTCCCCAATCTCATGCATCAGCTGCACAAATTCAGCCGTTGACCACACGAGTTCAACTTTCTCCTTCATCTTCAAATTCTCCTCAAAAGCTCGTACAACAAGTAATTAGTCAATCAACACCATCGCCGACATTGTCGCAACAAAGCTTTCAACAACAAAGCCCTTCTTTACCTTCACGACAGCAATTAACACCATTAAATCAAAATACTGGTGCTTTATATAGCCGACCATTGAACCAATCAGGTAGCACTTCAAATAATGACCAGCTAAATTCTAGACGCGGATCTATAAAATACGATTCCCTACCAATGCAAAGTAATCCATTAGTTCAGCCAACGCAACAAGACTTGCCTGTTACAGTACCGATGCAACAACAAATACCTCTGACTTCGACATTAAAACCATCCGATCAGCGAAATACTCTCGATAATTCTAAAAAGTTACGGATGTGGTTATATTTTACTTCGTTGCAAAACTTTGAGAAAGCTATTCAAAATAATAGTATTGACGAAGCTCTTGAAATCCTAAAAAATATTTTCGAGACATTCTTGAAGGTAATACTAGTAATGCTATATAAACCATTCAAATGATCGTCGATTACTTATTTTTACCAATATTTACCTAGAATGTAGACCTTGGATTTCCTAATTCGCCTCATGTTAAGGAATTGCCCGAAAAGTTAGCAAAACCTTTATGTAATTCAATTAACTTTGATGAACTAAAAGGCTGTTATGATCTGACTAGTCGATTACTTAAAATTGAACCTTCTGGAAAAAATCTTTTCAATCTATTGCTTTCATGGATATTTCAGTGGAGAGCTGAATCAAGTGATAATAATTCTAATAAATATAAGGCATTTGAATTGCTAAGGCTGATAGTTAATTGCACTGAACAGTCAGATGGAAGCAAAGAAATTCATGTTAAAGCACGATCTAAACTAATGGTGTATTGTCTAGGGTAATTATTTTTATTTATATAATTTAAGGGTTATTATATTTTAATTTAGTTTTTTTATAGATCACAATCAAGTGTGTTACTCGATACAATGGGTAGCATTAACACTAACTTACCAGAAACCATCGAGTTGTATACCACTTACCTAAAATTTGAAATAACACGTGAAAAGTCATTGTCCGAGAATGAAGAAGAATTTAAACAAGAATTTAAACATAGATGGTTTGAAGATCTGACTGTATGCTTTTTCACACGTAATCTTTCATTTACATATTCTATAATATATCTTAGACTATTTTTTTTGTTTCTTATTATTATTATATAGTTTATTCAGGAAAACGAAAATAATGTATTTTTATCCATGGTCCCACAATTGCTTAAGTGCTGGCCAGATATTTTCGTTGGAGTTCCACGGTTCATTTACATGATTGTGAGCGGAGTAAATCCTGCAATAGTATGTAAAATAATTTATATTTAGGGCTCATAAAAAATTAAGCATCAAATTAACTTTTTAATATTATATATTAGATTTATAAATTTGAAACTGATTTGAGACAACAAAAATACAAGATTATCGGCGATGTTGAAGGCGCAGACTCTATCCTTGGTTTGATTAATTATACATGCTATATCACGAAATCGTCCTGTGTTATGATCATCTAGTAATTTTGCTTTAATGTTTAAATTTAGCATGCGCTTTGGAATGGGATTCATTCGAGCAAATATATCTATTTAATTTGATAAGATCAGAATACGGCAACGATGTAGAACAGACTGAAAAATTTATGGATACTTCAGTTTATTTAAAAAGCTTGGACCCTTTAAGTAAGTTTGTAGCATGTCATTTTTCATGTAAAGTTACCAAACATATATTTTTCTTATGCGCGTTTGTACATACAGCACATCCTGAAGCATTATCTGGCTTAATTTGGCTTCTTGAAACGGTTTCTCCTACCTTAAAAATTATTGAGGCTCTATTCGAAATTATGATTTCTACAACAACCGATGATGCACGTTCTGAAATAATTAATTATATAAATTCGATATTCCATACATGGCAAAAAAATACACAACATATATCAGAGTTAAAATCTAGTTTAGGGCAATATTTTGACAATCTTAGCATTGAATTAAATAAAGATAAAGCCGTTGATTTAATTAAAGCCGCAGTAGACTTAATGGATGATCTATGGAAAAAAGCTCATCCTACGTTAAAACGTGGTTTGTACAAATTAATATAAAATGAAATTATATTTATCACAAGATTTAAATAATTCAAACTTTTAGGATTATCGTCGTTGCAGCCAAAAGTTGAAAGTATAGCAGCCTCAATCGGTATACAAATAAAATTTTCTAACTTGGTTGAAGTGCTTTTGGATGAAAAACACATGGAACTTGAAGAAAATGATGGTATACTTATTTATATGATGAATCTAATACGTTTATATCAATAATAATTATATATTTAGACATAAATGTCTTAATTTAGATGAGAATAATGGCAATTCCAAGCCTGTTACATTGCCAATATCAAAACCAATGAAGCCTCAGGATCGCCAGCTGCGTTCTACGACCGTGCATTCTCGTAGCACTGCGAATGAGCCAACAACAACTTCTACATCCGATGGAGAAGAAAATGAGGAAGAGACGTGTAGAACACCACCACCAGTTTTGCCAAAACGTGTTAAAAGAAAAATTATTGTTAGCTCATCGGAAGAAGAACAGGAAGTTGAGCAACCGAATAACCGCAAAAATCGTTCATCACGTGCACGCTCTTCTCAGACGACATCCTCAAGATCCACTATGAACACCCCCCAACTTTCAGGTGGTAAACGCAAGGGTACTATTCCAACTGCTTCACGGAAAAAACAACCAAAAGTTTCTGAAAAATCATCTTGATAGAAGATTGAAAGTTGCAACGAACTAGAGTTGCATAGACAATTTGAACAGTATTTATTTTTTTTAAAAAAAAAAAACTGTTATAAACTAATGTGTATTTTGAATAAATATTCATCCATGAAATCAGTATCTTATAAATCAATAAATGTTCAACTTCTCAGAATTTATTATTTATGATTAATTTCAAATCTCTCTACATATACTCTCTGACTGTAAGGATGTTATTTTTCGTTGTTGTAGCCGTCTAAATTGCATCCTTGAAAAACTTAAAATTTAAAAACACCGCTAAAACTCACGAAATCAAAGCGTCCCAACCCGATACCACCGTCAGCCAAATTATCTATTAAATCAACAGAAGTTATTAAATAAAATAAAGGTTCATCTATAGTATAACGTGTACTAATACACTCGATGATCACATCAAATATCACATTATAAATAAGGTTATAGATCGTCAATTTACATTACGTAATTTTTATTGATAGATAAGTAATGATTATCTATAAGGCGAAGTATTACGTTACAGGTGAATGGGGACGATATTTAATTTGTTCCTTGAAGTTACCCAAGGAAATCGTAATACTTCGGTGGGAAAA